ATTGTCTATTGGCCACATCGTGATGTGGTTTGGGCAGATCAATGATAAGAAATCGTTTCTCGATATGGGCAACTAAACGCGCGGCTTCTTCATGAAATGGTCAATTATTTGATCATATCGTAAAGTAGTTACATTAATTACCGGTAGAGGCGCTTCAAACGCTTTGTTTATGTGTGAAGATGGCGGCCGCTGTCGATAATGTTGTTTCTCGAAGTGAAAAAGTGAATAATTCGTTAATAAATGACGAAGAAAGTGATAGTAAAAGAGTTTACGACGAAAAGGATCTCGAGTACTATGCAAGTCACGCAAAAACTGAGCAAAATGTAAAAAAACCGTGGAGTTTGGATCGCATTTCACAGGTTAGTATTTTACTCTTAAATTACATAAATATTCACTTATTTTATCAAAATACTCTATGCCAGCTAACGTATTGTGTATTAATTGATATTAGTTAAGTTTGTGAAATATGACCTATTAAAGTTAATGTTTTTTTTTCCTTTTTTAGGTTATGAAACAAATTAAGGAGAGTAGGGTGACTACGCAAAAGAAGTCCATGGACTATTACTGGTTATCAAAATATGATATTTTGGAAACTTTGAATGAGAAATATCTTATATTCAAGAAAAAATGCGTCGACGATCATACGATTCGTATAATTCCGATGGAGAAGTATTTTGAAATATTAAAGGAAGTACATAAAACTGTTGGACATGGTGGACGATTAAAAGTGATTCAACACATTAAAAATAGGCTTTATATTCCGAAGAAACCCATCGAGCTATTCGTTGAGCTGTGCTCTGTTTGTCAGAAGAAACGTGCAGTGCCAAAGAAAGGTATAGTAACTCAGCCGATAATTTCTAAAGATTTTAACACACGAGGGCAGGTGGATTTAATAGATTTACAGTCTGCCGCGGATGGAGAATTTAAATGGCTTATGAATTACCAAGATCATGCCACAAAATTTTTACACCTCAGACCTCTAAAGTCGAAAAAACCTGCAGAAGTAGCCTTGGAACTTTTAAAAATATTCTTGGAATTTGGCGCTCCGTTTATATTACAGAGTGATAATGGAAGAGAGTTCACCGCGTATGTCATAGAAGAATTGGTGTCGATGTGGCCTGAATGCAAAATTATTCACGGTAGTCCTCGACGTCCTCAAACACAGGGCAGCGTGGAAAGATCCAACCAAGACGTAGAAAATATGTTGCGGTGTTGGATGCATGATAATAAGTCTACTAAATGGTCCATTGGTTGTTTTTTTGTTCAATTCTATAAAAACTCTTCTTACCACCGCATAATTGGCAGATCCCCTTACCGTGCATTGTTTGGCGGACGGAGGAAGAATTGGACCAAATAAATCAGAAAAGAAAGACAAACGAAGAATTTGACCAAATCAATCAGAAAGAGAAAAAGGAGGAAGAATTGGACCAAATAAATCAGAATGATTTTACAGCAGAAAACATTAATGTCATGCGGTCAGATGACGCAATAGTAAATGGAGTTGCTGATGAGGCTTTTACTAACATTGAAGTAATGGAGACAGATAATATGGAATTAGAGTCAGCTGATGGTCCAGTGTGTCTCGTCTGTGGCCACAACAGGAGCTCATTTCTGTAGTTTGTGTTCCAAACCTGTGCATGCTATTTGTGGTGTTGCTGGTGGAGAAGAAGGTTTTGGATCTCAAGTTCAATGTTTTCTTTGCCAAAAGGAACAGTTGATAGTTAATGAAAGAGATCAAGCTCATAGCGGTGTTAAACGTGCTGCAGAGAAAATGGTCGATAACACCGCCAAAAAACTTCCTTTGTTAGAAATTGGAAATTCTGTGTTTTTGAATGTACCGAAAATTTACCGTGGACCTCTTGACACCAAAAATATTGCTGGAAAGATAGTTGATTTTAGGAACGGAGTATACAAAATCGGAACGGGTTCTGGAACAATTAAAAATTGGTTTTCTTGGCAAGACCTACAGGTGTCGTCTAAAGATTATTGCGAAGTTATATCAGAATTGCCAATATCATTGAGGGAAGCTGTAAATTTCCAATCTTTGTTTGGAGGTCAAGGCTTTAAAAAATGCTTTTGTAAGCCAGCAAAAAAACCAATGCCGTACAAAGAGATGCGCATGTTTCAAGAACAAAACACTTTGTACTTCAAAGTGTCACCAAAGTTTGTCATGCGCCAACAAATGACTGAAAGGTTGTAACACTGACTTTTTAAATTTTTATTCATTTATTGTGCATTCCATGTGAATTATTATATTAATTTTTGTAACTATATACCAAAGTACCTACTTATTTCTAAATAATTGTTTGTTGTACAAAAGTACCAAAGTACCTACTTATTTCTAAATATTTGTTTGTTTTCTAAAAATAATTGTGTAACATGACGTGTTTGATGTTTAATTTTGTTACAAAAATTTAATTCATTTTGTTTGTATCAGTCGGACTTAAATAACAATAAACAAGTTCTTAACATATTCTGGATTTTTATTAAATATTTTATGGACACCCTATTTATACGATCCGGCCAAATGTGGATGAAAAAATCGTGAAATGATGACGATTTAATGGTCTTGTCAAATTAAGTTGCCCACATCATGAAATACGACCATTTCATGAAATTCTCGAGCATTTCATGAAGTGAGCAAATCTAGGATATGGCCACGACATATATACACAGTAGGTGTAGGCCTGTGACCACTAAAAGAGTCTGCCACCATAACTGTGTGCGGAAAAGTACGAAATACCATCACATTTGATAGGATTTTTTGCAAAATATCCACGAATATATTAATAATATTTATACAGAGACGACACGCAGATAAATCGTGTATAATATATATGTCAACGTAAAATTGTAAAAACCGTTAGATTGTAATCTATCTCGCGAGATTGTAAACTGTCGAAAAATTGTGAACTCAACGTACTGCTTACAATTTAACGTATTATTATTCGGTAGATTGTAATCTATCGAAGTGAAACCGTCAAATTGTGAAACGGTACGCACCTCGCGCGCTGATTGGTTGAACGGATTATGCCACGCGCTGATTGGTGGAACGGAGTATGCCATGGAGGCGACCATATTTGTTTGTTAATTCGTTTGTTGTCGAATGTAAACAAAGGGTGTTTTGGTAAATGTAAATTGATGTCGTCTTGAAAGTAACTCACAGCTTTAGGATGTTGAAAGTGAACGTGAAAAGTAATATGAAATTGTTGTGGAAGTAAAATTTATCTGTGATTGACCAAAGAAGTGCAGTTTGAATGATAATTAAGTTAGTGTTGGTCTCCAAACATAGTCTAAATTACATACATTTTCCGTGTTTTAATATTTTTTATTTGCGTGATTTTTACCTTTGTGATCTCGTATTTACAATGTCGGATATTGAGCCTGTCGATCAACAAAACTCAGAAATATTAGGTATTGTTAATAAGGAAGAATTTACCATAGAGTTACAAAACTATTACAGCGGTCATAATGAAAATAGTAAAAATGTAATTGCAAAAAAATAAAAAGAAAGCTGAAATGTTCTTTGTAACTCCAGGTGCCACAACTCGTTAACGTGCAACAATAATGGAACATTTTTATTGGTGCAATTTACTTTCTTATTTTTTATATAATAGACAATTTTGTTATGTTTTCAAAAACGTTCATATGTTTTCGATTTGTTTTTTTTTAATTTTGATTTTATTTTGTGATCGTTTTTTTCTAAAAGAAAATTTCATTAATTTTTCAATTTTTATTTGTGTTTGAAGAGAAAATATTGTTACGTTTCTGATTTTTTTATTTTGATATATTTTTTTTTCATCATGTGATGTCAGAATTATTGATTACCTATTAAGTAATAAATACTAATTTTTGAAGTGCATTCATTTTATTTGACCGATACCCTTGTTTCATTCCTAACTCTATGGACATATAGCGGTCTACTATAAAGCCGACCAATCAGCGCGCGAGGTGCGTACCGTTTCACAATTTGACGATTTCACTTCGATAGATTATAATCTACCGAATAATAATACGTTAAATTGTAAGCAGTACGTTGAGTTCACAATCTTTCGACAGTTTATAATCTCGCGAGATAGATTACAATCTAACGGTTTTTACAATTTTACGTTAACATATCCAGATACTACGGTTTCAGAGTTGTGCTCGTTTCCGCACCTGACACGTTCATAGTACGCTCATGTTATGATACGGTGTAGTGAAATGAAATGAAATGAAATGAAATAGTTTATTCTTGCAAGTAGGACTATATAAATCACTTTTACAATGTCATCCTAAACTAGATGAAGTCGACATTTCCTAACTGACTGCCCTGAGAAGAAATGTCGAAACAAACTCGGGGGTCTTACTCTCTTTTATAGTCCAGATAATACAATAATAAATTAATAAATTGGTGTAAACAAATGCAGAGTATTTACTGGACTGGTCTTTAGAAGAAAGAACCAGATCGATCTGAGCAAGCCTGTGCCAGCAGACGGCAAGCATGCCCCGAATAGCTCATGCAGCTCAACCATTTTTGAGGGAGCTGCACAACCCGGTACACAGCAGTACCGCCAGTGGCACCATAAAAATATGTGGGGCAACAACTCACTCAGATCGCCAGCCCAAAATAACTATAGACTAAAATGTATCAAATTATAAATCAAGCAAAAGAGTTTATGATATACCCGCATAATGTTTACACTTACAATGGATACAAAATGTATTTTTAAGGTGTACCTTAAAGCAAGGAAAAAATAATGAAATTGAAAAATATAATCGTAATATAAACATTATTCACTTGGCATGTCAAAGTGTAAAATATTGTATGCAAAAGCACAAAACATGTCAGTATTGTATTGTAACTTATAACATGCTCTATTAATTATTGAGACTTATAACATGCTCTATTAAAGGTTTGGTTGTACATACAAAGTGTACATTCTTATGGCTTATGTTTGTTTTTTTATTTTGCTAATACTTGCTTAAGTCTAAAGTTGATAAAAATGTTTTCGAATTTGTTACCGTGTCTGTGTCTCTTTTCCCATTCGACGACAAGACCTACCTTTGAAATTCTCTAGATTTTCATACTCGTGAAATATTAATTTGTGTTCCAATTTTATTATAGTAAATCCAGTTTTGCCTAATAATTGTTGCATATCTTTAAGGGAATCCTGGAAAGAGTATATTTTTAATTAAACGCCAATTAAACGGAAATTTGTGGGAGGTTCAAATTGTAGGTAGAACTCCATGCTTTTGATATACAGGTATAAATCACTATTTAATTTTACTTAGAATCTTAATCTTATCTTTACAGTTAAAATGAGATAAAAGGTTTTATTATGTATAATATGTTATATGCTTGCAACTCGCTGCTCTGAGGTTATAGAACCCCGCCTATGTCAAGCAGAGAAGAGAACCTATTATCGAACATAAATCGAATTTCTAATCGTTTTTTTATATGGGTCAATAGTACATAAAGTTGAATAATGTGCTTCTTTGTCTAATGTAATGAATTGGGAATAAATTAATCCAATCTACCACCATCGCTCCAATATGGCGGACCTCCTAGCAAAAAATTATAATAGAAATGACTTCAAGAATTTTTATTAAGAAATAATAATTATCTTTTGCTAGAGTGAATTAAATTATGTTATATATACTTGACTGTCATGGTATGGAGATATATATCTTTCAACGTCAGTAACCCATGGCTTCCATTTTTCGGCTTTAGCAAGGGACCTTTGTGCATCGAATATAGATACTTTTCCTACGACAATCGCAAAACAACTGCCTTGGTCCTTAAGAATATCGTATATGTTCTGGAACGCAGTTCTGTAAAATCAACACAAAAAATAAATATAGCTAAATTGAGGTATCCGCCGAAAAAGTGAATATAATTTTCGAAGGCGTCAAGTCACCGTCATATTGTTTATGAGGTGTGCGAACATAAAATATAGATGCAAAACATACAATGACAAGACAAGTTATTTTTATTACGTAATTAGGAACAAAATTATACGACTTTAATTAATGAAAGCATGCCCATTTCTGCAGAACTGAGAAGTTGATCGGACTTTACAATTACAATTTTGTGTATATATTTTGTGGGCGTATTTGCAACTAAAGTGATCGACGAACATTCATCGTTAGAAAACAGCGTGGTTTTTATGTGAGAATAAAAATCCCGCATCTATTCAGTTTGAGAACACTTACATTCGACGCATGCGCAATGGCTGGAAAGCGTCGCACAGGTGGCAGTAAATAATAGAAAAAATAGCTTCAATTTGATATAAAATTAATAAATATACGTTATAAACGTATTACATACCTACTCGAGATAAGATAATATACGTAAAAATTATTTTACTCAGATGTAATAATATGAATTCATAATTTGTATAATTCAAATAACATACTCGTTCTATAAAATGCCCTTTAGGAAGTAATTAATTTTAATTTGACAATTAATCACTTAATTACTTAGTAATTAATTTTAATTTGAAAATTAATTACTTAATTTCTTAGTCATTTAATTTAATTAATTTTCAAGTTAAAATGAATTACTTTCTATTGCGTTAAAATAAAGTATTACCTTGATAACAATAACTTTTATAAATTAAAAATGAACGTAATAAGTTATAATTGAATGAATATTGTGTTTCTCGTACACAAGAAAAGAAATAATATTATTTCTAAACACTTATTATATAAATTACCTACCTTATTTTAATATTAATGATATATATTATATAAATTTAACAAAAACCATGACGGGTTAAAAACTATGAAAAAAAGGTTACATACACGCCCACAAAATCATAAACGTGTCAGGCACAGAAGGCTAACTACTCAGGTATAATATACAAAAGCTATTTAGATGCCGTGTAGCACGTACCATTAATTTAAAATTATAATTACGATGTACTTACTCTTGACGAAGACACCAGTTTAAAGCAAAAAAGGAAATGGCATGGTGGAAACGTTCCCTTAGCTGATCGGGCAGCTCTCCCTCTATGTTAAGGGTAGTGAAATCAACACGTTCCGAGGCATAGTGTTCATTTGCGAATCGTATCATATCTTCACTTATGTCACAGCCCGTCATGGTCTTGCAAGTAGCAATTACTTCTTTGAATATTTTTGATGTCAATCTCCCATCGCCACAACCAATGTCAAGGATCGTTGAGTCGGTTTTCCAATTGATTATATTCTTATATTCTTCTAGATACTTCAATGCATTAGTATTCTGTAGAGAATTTGATTTATTATACAATTTGACGTTAAGCATTGTACGTGCGTGCTTTTCGGCGAATTTATGATTCAGGACAGCGATCAGGTAGTAAGGGAAAGGCGTAGGACTAACGAAGCGGTTTTGTGGTGGCGGAATGGAGTTTTATTCTCAAAACTCACTATCGCTCGCTCACACTCGATTATCACTCGCAAACTTGGTGGCTGATTATCGCAATACGGGCGGTTAAACGATCAGTTGAGTTCCAGTCGACCTCCATGGACACGCACCAGAAATGAGCTGTTGCGTTATACTTACTTCACAGAAGAATAAAAAAAAAAGGCCTAAAAGGTTTTGGGTGCATCCACTGATTGCGGAAACAGATCGTTATGGGTTATTTGTTACTGTTATTAATGAGTTAAAGAAGGATGAAGAAAAGTTCTTTAATTATTTTCGAATATCCGTAATGTGCGGTCGCCCGCCAACCGATCGCAGAGCGCGCGGCTGCAACCCGCCGCCTGTGGTTGGTTTTAGGCTAAGTTCAGATGACCGCGCGGTACCGCGCGGAACTATGAACCGCGCGGTACAAGATCAATATAAACGGTAATTATCGTCTACATTACCGCGCGGTACCGCACGCCAACTCGCGGCGCGCTCCGACCCGCGCGCAAGATCTTGAACCGCGCGCTTCCGCGCGGCCGCGCGCGGCACAAGTTTTGCAAACCTGTATCGACCTATTCAGTTGATCCGCGCGGCTTGAGACGGAAAGACACATAGATCGATGCAAAATGAGTACCGAAGATATGGTATTAAGTATTCGGTGATATGCAATATCTTATAGCATCTTCTATGGATTTTAAATAATTTTCAATAGAATCGTATAAAAAATCAAAGGATGCAACTGACATCCGGAAATAGTTAAAAAAATTATCTTCGTGTAACCTCAAGTCGGGATACAAAGTGACAAACAGGCTGGAAGAAAGTCTGCCACTTAAAATTGGATGCACCCAGTATCGTCTTTGTCTTCTTCTGCGACGTCTCAGTCTTCTATATAAAATCCATAAGCAAATTGCCTCCTCCACGTCCATTGTCAATCAATGTTGAAGCCACACTGCCGCGCGTACATATACCGTCATGTGAATGCTCCAACCGCGCGGCGACGCGCGGCTACGCGCGGTCATCTGAACTTAGCCTTATGCTACAAAGGCTGCGGGCCCGCAACCACGGCGGGCGCAGTCGAAAACCGCTTCGTACTTCCTTAGCCTTAGATGTTATCGTCAGAATAAAGGCAAATTCACATTAACCTGAACATTAAAATGAAATGGGATGATTTATGCATAATACGAAAATGATAAATTTAATTTATACTGTAATTTGTTGTCATGTTGAGCTGATAGGAAAATAAATAGAAATTCATAAAGATATCAATGATCAGGTAACTCAAGGTGTTAATAAATGATTAATATAGACCAGCATTGCATTTGCGAGGCTTCTGGCAATGTGAGTATCCATAAGCGGCGGACACTATCACTCAACCTCAGATGAGCCTCTTATCCGTTTGCCATCTGTTCTATAAAACAATATTTGTTTGATACAAAATTATCATGTACTATAGAAAGCAGATAAATTTAATATGATTCAGTACTTAATAAAAGTTACATAATTATTACATGTGTCACGCATTTATGAATGCGTTATTTTATGCCGTTATGCCCGTTTTTATATTATTTAAAATTCTAACGTCAGCATCACTAACAGTGAAAATATTTAGAACTGGCCAGTTGGAAAAATTCCTAATGAAAACTTTTTTGAATTTCAATTTTAGAACTCTTTGGTAACCTAATGTAGTATATTGCATTCAATTGTCATTTGTTTTTGTGAATTGGCGGCAAATCTTAAACTTTTAGAAAGCGATTAGCATTTCCTAATGAAGCTCCATCTCGTGCCCCTATTTACAGTTGGTTTAACTAGTTTAAGCGTGGACGTAGGAATCTCAATGATGATCCGCGTGAGGGACGTCCTTTAATAGCGATCTTACATGATTTGAATAATCTTCAAGCATCGCTTGCTACGCTTGGAAATAAGAGCTTACATTGGCAGAAGGCTCGCAAGTGCGTTGCGGGCCTTTTAAGAATTGGTACGCTCTCGTCTTGAAGGATCCTAAGTCGAAATGCTTCGGGATTTTTTCATTGACAGCTGATTCCACATAGTGATAGAGCGCGGCAAAAGCTGGCCTACTGTCAGTACTTCGTAAGTTCTCCATACTTTTCCCCAAGAAAAAGCAATAAAAAATATTAATCATTGTACATAACATTACAAAATATTATATTTGATTACACTATGCAGGGTACAAGTAATCTAACACTAAATTTCACGGAGGTAACGAAAAATTTATTGGTTCGTCATTATTTAAAGTAAATTATTTTATGAAGTCCATCGCTACGTCGGAAAAACCGAATTTCCTGTGTTTTATTAGAAATGTTGAAAAATATATGAAAAATGTATAATAAAATTATTAAAATGTCATATGTTTTGATTCGCAAAAAAGGGTGAAGACTTTGGTACACACTGAACTTCTGCAATCTAGTATTTTAAATTAAGTTTTATTTAATATTGGTTTTGTAATTAACCTGTTCACTCCATTTTTCCTTTGTTCGATATTTCTACGGGAATCAAACCCACAGGTTCCATTGCTACTTCACCAATTAGTTAAGGTAGACAAATTGGTCATCTGTGTCTTTTTAGAAGTTATGGTAATAACGAACATAAATAAAATTTTAAAAATAAAAGAAGAGAAGAGGAATATAGAATTTATGTTCATGTATTTCAATAATTGTATTTTATATTTAAATGTTACATTTCAATTTTAGAACAATTTATGTTCCTAAAAAAACGAATCCAGACATTATTACTTTTTTTCAACATATAAAACGAGTATTTGCGCGTTAAGAACATTATCATTAGTTGATTTCTTGTAATTGTATTTTTCAGTGTCAATTATCTGCATTTCTTGGGTTAAGTCTATAAAAAAATCGTCATATAACTCATCCGGGATCTTGAAAGGCACCGAAGACATTATTAAACCTGAAAATAATGGTACATTAGACGGCACACAAAAGTGATAAGCACTAAAAGAGTCTGGCTACGATACCGTGTCGTACCATAACTGTGCGTGGTAAAGTACGAAATTATACCCGCTAGAATCGTGAATGAATGAATCATGTATTGTCAGAGTTGTGCTCGTTCCCGTACCTGACACGTTCTTAGTACGCTCATGTTATGAAACGGTGTAGTGAGACTTATAACATGCTCTGTTAAAGGTTTAATTGAACATTCGTGGCTTTTGTTTGTTTTTTATCATAATACTTGCTTAATAGCAGTGTTGGCCTAGTGGCTTCAGCGTGCGACTCACATACCTGAGGACGTAGGTTCAAGCCCCGGCTTTCCACTTAACCAATGACCAATGAACTTTCTTTCTATGTGCGCATTTAACATTTACTCGAACGGTGAAGGAAAACATCGTGAGGAAACCGACATGTGACCCAAAAAGTCGACGGCGTGTGTCAGGCATTGAAGGCTGATCAACTACTTGCCCATTAGATTTAAAAATTTGTTACCGTGTGTATGTGTCTCCTTTCCCATTCGACGCCAAAACCTACCTTTTAAATCCTCTAGATTATCGTACTCGTGAAATATTATCTTGTGTTCTAATTTTGTTATAGTAAATCCAATTTTTCCTAATAATTGATGCATTTCTTTAAGGGAATTCTGAAAAGAGTATATTTGAATTAAACGCAGTAATTTGTGGTAGGTTATTATAGGTAGAATTCCAGGCTTTTGATATTCTGGAATTTAACATAAAAGTATATATCACGCTTTATCTATACTCAGAATCTTATTCTTACCTTTACAGTTAAAAAGAGATAAAGTTTTTATCATGACTATTATGTATACATAATATGCGTGCATATATGTCATATGCGTGCAACTCTCATCACTGAGGTTATAGTCCCCCGTCTATGTCAAGCAGAGAAGAAGAACTATTCGGTTATTAATAATTTCTATTAAGAAATAATAATCAGCCGTTGCTAGAGTGAATTTAATTCTTTAATACATACCTGACTGTCATGGTATGGAGATATATATCTTTCAACGTCAAAAACCCATGGCTTCCATTTTTCGTTTTTAGCCAGGGTCCTGTATGCATCGTATAATGATACTTTTTCTGTAACAATCGCAAAACAACTTCCTTGGTCTCTAAGGATATTGTATATGTTCTGGAACGCAGTTCTGTAAAATCAACATAAATATTAAATATAGCTAAATTGATGTATCCGCCGAAAAAGTTTTAATAAATATAATTTAAGAAGGCGTCGAGTCACCGTCGTATTGATTATGAGGTGTGCGAATATAAAATATAGATGCAAAACATACAAAGACAAGATCAAACCACAATGGGTTTAGACTTTACTTTAAATGCATATTTAACAAAAAATTTAACCTCTAGAATGTACTTCATACTTGTTGAATAAGATTTTTATTACTATTTAACTTGGAATGAGTACACGAAATGTCACGAAACTTGTTTATGACAAATTCGGGTAAATACAGGAACTGATTGTTGGGGCCCTCAAGATGTTTGATCGAGCGGATGTTCCTCAGCATCCGCAACTCCAAAACATCGCACCGAGGCACTCCAGACCACCAGGCCAGTAGGACGCGTCTTCAACCGCTGGTCGCCTCCCCCGGGGTAACCGGGGGCGTCACTCGGCGGTGCCACCAGGGCCTTGTTGAGATTACTCCTTGGCCCCTCATGATTGATACCCCAAACATGACCCTAACCTCGGCTGCGCGCATGTAGTATGTTTCCAAGCACGCTGCAGCCCCCACCAAGGGCTATAGAAGACCACCCTCATACCGCCGTGCATTAGCAGAGCGCGAAAATGGAAACATCACCCGAAGAGGGCATATGCTCTGAATAGGCCAAAGCTCACCCCTTTCGAGGGAGTGTGCAACCACAGTTTGATGGAGGATTTGAACAAAACAGAAGCCTTTAAAAA